TCCCGCAATGGTGAGCAGGGGGCAGGGGCTGAAGCCGGGCCGGCAGCCTGCGGCAGTGCAAGGCAGTAGCTTGGCCTTGGCTGGCCTTTGGCAGCTGTGGCAGCTGCTCCCAGCTCTCCTCCTCCCTGTTCAGCTGCCCAACTCTGTTGGGACACGCCTTTGGCCTCTGGGGCTGCACCACAGCATTGTGTTCCACACAGGCTAAGTGCATCTGGAGCCTGTATGAAAGCCTCCTGGAGCTACTGCAGGATGCAGACAGAGATGCGGTTGAGATGACCCTCTCTGCATTCATCAATGTGCTGGACTTGAAAATCATCCAAATATCCAACCCCACTGCCCTGAAGTTGCTTGAGGCACTGCAACCACTCTTTGACAACGTAAGGCTCTGTGCCCCTCATCATGGGCACTGAGTGCTGCCAGGAAACTTTGGGCCCAGTGTCTTTTCAGGCCTGTGCCCTGGTGGGCCTGGAGAAGCCAGTGCTGAGGTCTTTTCCTCTTCCTTTGCACCAGGAGCACAGCCAGCTGCAGCAGCTCTCCATGCTCCTCTTCCGGGAGGTGATGGAGGCAACAGAGAGGAGCAAGAGCCTAAAGCCACACGTGTACCTGAGGCTGGTGCCATTCTACTTCAACTGGCACGATGAGAACCAGCGTGTGGCAGAGGTGAGGACTCGTGGGCTCTGGTGTCCCCATGGCAGGAGGCTGCTGTGCCTCCTGCCCTGGCCCATGGTCGCCTGCAGCCTCCTCCTGGCCTTGGCGCAGGGATGTGGGTGCTGTGCCCTGGGCTGCGGTGCCCTGGGCTGCGGTGCCATGGCCTCTGTTGCTGTGCAGGCCTCTCGGAGAGCACTGTTTGGTGCAGCCAGGTTCCTGAAGTGGAGGGACCTTGAGCACTTGGTGACCATGGAGCAGCCGTGGAGGTTTCCTGAGTGCCTGGTAAGGACGGCCCCAAAGCCCCAGCCCCTGACTCCCTGGGAGCACCCAGCCCTCTGCTCCCCCCAAACCCAGCCCCAGTGGCTGCTGGACGGGCCTCAGGGCTCTGTGGGCAGTGGAGCCCCGTGCTGGGGGCAGGGAGCGCCCGGCCAAGGGGCAGAGCCTGACCCCAGTTTCTGTGCCCTGGCACTCTTTGCAGCTGGAAAAGGACAGGAGCCGAGTGGGCCAGTACGTGCGCCAGGCCCTGCCGTACCTGCAGAGCCCAGAGGAGCCCCTGCGAAAGCTGGCCATCAAGTTTCTGGGTGAGCCACAAGGCTGGGGTCCCTCCCCACCCCGCTGCAGCTCGGCCCCAGCCCCGGCTACTGCAGCGGCTGCAGGATGCGGCCCAGGGCATGTGGAGCCCCGAGTGGCCTGGCGCCTGCTGCCGCCCTGTGCCAGCCCAGCCCTGGGGCGTCCCCATGCGGGAAGGCCCCGGGCTCAACCCTGCCAGGCCAGGAGGCCGTGTGGCCGGGCTGGCAGCGCTGCTGCGGGGGACCTGTACCTCTGGGGCCTGACAGGTTCTGTGTTCCCAGGGATCGCCGCCAGGTCCATGAAGCAGGAGCAGCCAGAGCTGCAGCTCATCTGCCAAGGTGAGCGAGGGCACTTTCCAGCTCATCCCCTTGGGTTCTGCTCCCTCCTGGCCATGGCAAGAGCTGGCTGGAATGGCCCTGGCAGGAGGGGCTCCTCACTTCCCCACACCCCTGGCCTCTTACCTTGGCTCTCTTCCTTTCTCTTCCAGCCCTTCAAAGCATGACTGATGACAGCCCTGCCGTCTCAAACCTGGCACGTGAAACGCTCCACGCCATCAGAGCTGTACGGAGAACTCCATTCTTCCCATTCTGGTAGTCTCCGTTGCTGCCTCTTCCAGCCAATACATGTGTGACAGATGGCATCAGACTCGCCATGGCAGGCCTGGCAATTCAACACTGCTATGTGCTGAGAGCTCTACAGACGGCTCCCTACTGCAGACTCCAGCAGCTCCAAGACTGGCTGTGCAGGGCGTGGCAGGCCCAGCCTTTTCCACAGGGCAGTGTCTGCCTGTGCTGCTGCAGCTCTGTGGAGAACTGATGCAGGAAGCTCCATCTCCTGGGGCCACCTGAGCCTGTGGGGAAGATGCCTCTTCCCTGCAAGCACCTCCTTTGAGCTCAGCATAGGAATACAACCAACATATTATCACACACAGAGGCCCAGGAGCTTTTTTTGGTGCCCAGTGTGCACAGGGGCTTGGGAAAGAGAGGAAAAGGGCTCCTTGTGCTCAGCAACACTTGCCCCGCTGTGCAGCGTGCCAGCAAAAGTGGGCCGAAGCCCCTTGGCCTTTGGTGGTTCTGCTGGAGCCTCAACGTTTCCAGCAAAATGGAGTGGCAGAGGTTGGAGCTGTGGGGATCCCTGAGGACCTTGTCCTTGGAGATGGCCACAAGCCCTCCTGCAACCAGGAAGCAGCGTCTGTGTCCTGCCTGTGTGTTGCTGGCTGGATTGCTCCAGGCTCCCAAGTGCCTCTGGAGCGGCTCCTCTGGAGCTCCTTCAGGGCTGCGCCGCTGCCGGGCAGGTTGGTGGGGCTGGGGGAGACCCACAGGGGAGGGGGCACTGGGAGGCCAGGAAAGGGTGAGGTGCTGTGGAGGCCCTGATGGGACAAGGGAGCGGGAAGCCTTGAGGGGAACCTGTGAGGGGGTGGGTGGCAGAAGGCTGCGAGGGGACAGACTGGGTGCAGGCCCCAAGGGGCAGGGTGAAGGGAAAACCCCAGGACTTGGGGGGCAGAGGCCATTGGCAGCCCCCAGGCAGCCACCTCCTTCCCTGCCAGCCGGCTGCTCTGGTGCTTTCTCGAGGCATCTCCCAGCCCTGTGGCAGAAGCCCTGGAGGCCGGGCCTCAGCAGCAGGGTGGGCACACCCCCAAGGGGGCCAGGCTGGCCTGGCTGGGGACAAGGAGGGCAAGGGGGCCCTGCCAGGGCACGTCCCCTGGGTGCTGCCTGCCAGGGGCAGTGGCACAGGCAGGGCTGGTGGCCAGCCCGGGCCCCCGCGGCTGCCCAGGCCATGGGGTTGTGGTCGACACCCCCCTGAGCCAGAGCTCTGGGCCCGCAGAGCTGCTGCCACCACGGGCAGGGCACTGGGCTCCTCGGGCAGGCCTGAGCACTCGCTGCTGCCCAAGCGGCTCCGCGCCCCACAGACAACAGCACCAGAGGCTGCCCAGGAGCAGCAGCACCCACAACGCCTGGGCCTCCCAGGCACCCACACCCACCAGGACACCACAAATGGGCAGACTGTGGGCACAATTGCACCCGCTTTGGCAAAAGGTTTCAGGGCAAGTGGCCACCACAGCTTTCCAGTGACTCCCCAGCCTCACAGCAACCCTTGGCAGCTTCAGCTGCAGCCTGACATCCTGACTGACTTCAACGGCCCTGCTTGAGGCTGGACACGCCTTCCACACTCAGCTGTCTCCAGCCAGCGCCACTGGTACCATCCTTAGAGACTCTGCTGGGACACC